CTCGCTAGGACCATGTCAAAGCCCACGATGAGCTTTTGGAAAGGTTTAGTCAAGTTAGGAAAGTATTTGAAGTACCACAGCAGAAGCGGCTATGTGTATCAATATCAGGAGCAGCCCCAAGAGTTAACCATTTGGACTGACACAGATTACGCAGGATGTAAGCGAACGAGGAAGTCTACGAGTGGGGGAGTAGTGATGTGGGGCAAACATCTCATAAAGTCCTGGAGCACGACTCAGAGTGTAATTGCGTTATCGTCAGGTGAAGCAGAGTATTGCGGACTGGTGAAAGGAGGATCAGTGGGTTTAGGACTCCAGGCAGTGTTGAGAGACTTTAACTTGGAAGTTGAGATCACAGTGAAGAGTGACGCCACAGCTGCGATTGCCATCGCAAGCAGACGAGGATTGGGGAAGGTAAGACATATCGAGGTGTGTCAGTTGTGGTTACAGCAGAAAGTTAAGGAGGGAGTGATTCGTATTGTGAAAGTCGGGACGCACGAGAATGCAGCAGATGCGTTGACCAAGTATGTCAGTCGTGAAAGCATGAGCACACATCTACGAAACACGAATCAATGTGCACTAACAGGCAGGCATGAGCTTGCACCAGCTACTGAATGTTGACGTATCGAATGTTGATGTCCGCAGCTCATCTCTGTCAAGCAAACTGCAGCTATTAAAGGCCTTCTCCACCCATCACCTCTCACTCTTGAGCGTGAACGAGAGCATGGCGGCTCCCCAGGTCAACCTCACCATCAACGGCTCCATGGTCGACCAGAGCCCAGCTGGGGATGGACCGGTTACGCGTGAGAACCTCAACCGCCGTGTTGACGACATGGTGCACGTTGCCCACGCGTTTACCGTCACCCTCACTAACATGGCGATTAACTTCCACGGTGCCTACGACAAACACGTTGACGAGGTGCAAAGGGCCGCGGATGACATGGCGGCGAGGATCGAGGAGTTGACGCGCCAGAACGATGCGTTGGTCCAGGACAGTGACGACGTCAACGAGAATCTCCAAAGGGCGCAGAAGGAGATTAACGACCTGATGGCGACGATTACGGACCTGAACATTCAGAACCGCGACTCGGGGGTTAACACGGAGGAGAATGCAACCAAGTATAGGCGCATCAACGACAACATTGGTTACCTCCTGAACACCGCCAAGCGCCTTACCGACAACATCACGCCCCTGCAGGACTTCGAGGGTAAACGTGATGCGGCGCTACGCCTGTTGGTGGCAGTAACGGAGAGGCTGGAAGGATTACAGAGGTTCTTGCATGACCCGATCAACTCCCCGGTTACCAACATCCCGCAGGTTCCTCCGCCGTTGCCCGAGCAGCCCCCAACAGCAAAGGCCGCCAAGGCACCTCCAACTGCAGTCAACGCGACGGCCGGGGCCAGCCAGCCTCTAGCCCGTGCTGCCGCAGCATCGGGTGCACCCCCGGCTCAGGGCTTTACCGGCACCACGCCCAAGACCGGAGGGTTCGGTCGATCCGTGTCGCCGAATAAGATCCCACAGTCAACGTCGCCTCAACCTGTTGACAAGAAGGCACCCAAGGCCATGCATGAGCGTAAGCGGGAATTGGAAGAGTTACTGCAGCTGGGAATGAAGATGGATGAAGATCGTGCACAGGGCAGTCAACGTGACGAAGCAGCAAAGGGCCCTGCCCCGGTGGTTAAAGCGAGGGCGCCCAAGCCGCCTCCTCCAGGCCTTGGAGAGTCAGGTGCATCAAGCAGTGTTAGCGGCATGAATCCCCCGCCTCCGGTGCCCAAGAAGTTATCGACCCAGTATGTTCCTCCACCGCAGCCTCAAGCTGTTAACCGTACGGACGAGCAGCTTGCGGCATACTCGCGGAACGTCGCCAGGGGCATGTACCGGCCACTGTATCATGTCAACGGCCGCATGCCTATGGTGAACGACAAGAGCGAGGACCACGACGTCAACTACAAGGTGGAGCCCGACCCCAGGGAGATAGTCGCATTAACGATGAAGACGCGCGACAACTGGCGCAGGTTCGAAGGCAACTTCGTCGGACATGTGGCAAAAGAGGGGTTAACGACTCCAGGTGGTCGATCTATTCCGGGCAACACGGGGCGGGAACTCAACGACTACGATGAGGTGTTCGTCGACATTTACGGGCAGCACGCCTACGGCTTCCTTGGTTACTCCGTGTTAAAGGGCCCAAGCAGCTGGAGGTCTCAGTTGACGGAGAAGGAGCTGGAAAAGCACGACGAGTGGGTTGACGCGGTCGGGCATGTACAATCCCTGTTCGACGACGAGTACGTGCCGCCGATTCACGTCAACGATCTCCACCCAATGTGGTTCGACGTTCACAGCTGCCCAGACACGCAGGTCTACGTCAACAAGGCGCCAGAAATGAACGAGAAACAGCTTAACGGCCTTCTGCTAACGTGGGCCGGGATGCTGCCCCACGGCAACCCCACCGTGGTCTCCGTTAAGCACCTGGTGGAAGACACCTTCGGACCGCACGGCTACATCTCAACTGGGGTTACCGTGATCAGGTTTGCGACGCACGACCTCGCTAAGCTCTATTGTCGTTATATGAATGGCCTCCAAGTATATTACCGCAACTACTTCATCGAGGATCTGGAGGTCAGGAGCGCCGAGGAGTTAAAAGGCAGCATCAACAAGCCCCCGGTTTACTGGCACCAGACCATCCTGGAGGTCGCTCTTAACGACCAGGGGTCCATGAGGGCGCTCTACCGTGACAACTGGCCTGCGGATCACATTACCGAGCGTAAAATTGACCATCGCGAGAAGCTCTGTTGGTTTGGGTGGTTGCCGTGTGACGACTTTGCCAACTGGCTTACCGACCCTTACTGGACTGTGAACCCGTTTACCGGAGTTGCGGTCGAGGAGCACCTCCGCAACAATCCAGGTGGTAAACCTCTGCTGAAGGCTCCCCACGCCAGTTACTGGAGGGCCATTGGTACTTACCACAATATTGTTGACGGGTCCACCAAGAGCTTTGAAGAGGGGTGCTGGTTGGACGACGAGGAGCGCATTAACGCGTACCTGGACACCGACTATTACAGCCCGACGCAGGCCCTTAACAGGGTGTCGTCCTATACGGCGGCCAGCGTGGGGCACCGTGGTTTACCGCAGTCCAGGGGCGCGCGTGCTCCGTCAGTGAGGCGCCCGCGCCGGTCGTAAACGGTAGCAGGTGACCGGCATGTCTTTCTTTTACGCTCGCCCTCATCTCCCCTCTCAACCAGGCTTAACAATAGCGTTGCAGTAGACTATTGAGCTGAATCTATTTACATGTGCATCTTTTATATTTTCCGCAGGTATTGGCGCATAAAAAGCGAAAGCAATCATAACCATGTAAATGCTAGCCTGCCGTGTGAACTTTAGATGCTACTTTAAAACTCGTAACTGATTGAATGTTTACTTGAGCTCGCGTTACATGTCTGAGAGACGTGGTGCTCGTGAACGTGGTTATGAGATATTTCGAACTCGGCAGTGTGACGATACTCACGCAGCCTGTCGCTTGATTTAACCTGTTTTTGTGTTTACAAGCACCTCCCCGTCAGCCAATGCGGACTAGCGTCCGAGGGGGGTGTTAACATGCAAGCATGCGTGTGACAGGGGAGGTATAGTAACCCCGCTGCCTTTGGCTCAAGTGTTTAACGGTCGAAGTTACATCGACCAGTTGCGCACTTCGGGAGTATAAAGGTGACCTATCGTTATCATTGTCGCCAAGCTCCCGTGCAGAACCCTCCTCGGGGTTTTGCAGGAGGAGGAGGAGGAGGAGGAGGAGGAGGAGGGGGACGAGGAGGAGGAGGAAGGGGAAGAGGAGGAGGAGGAGTAGGAGGACGAGGAGGAGAGGGGGGCGAGGGGGGGGAGAGGGAGGAGGAGGAGGAGGAGGAGGAAGAGGAGGAGGCGGAGGAGGCGGAGGAGGAGGAGGAGGAGGAGGAGGAGGAGGAGGAGGAGTAGATGGAGGTGGAGGAGGAAGAGGAGGGGGACGAGGAGACGGAAGGACGAGGACGAGGACGATGGGAGGAGGAGGAGGGAGGAGAGGAGGAGGAGGAGGAGGAGGAGGAGGGAAGGAGGAGGGGGAGGAGGAGGAGGAGAGGAGGAGGAGGAGGAGGAGGAGGAGGAGGAGGAGAAAGGAGGAGAAAGGAAGAGAAGGAGGGAGGAAGGAGGAGGGGGAGGAGGAGGGTGACACCACCTCGAGTCGGGACCTCGGCCAGGGCCGCAGGTGCTGTCGGGCGCCCGCGCGCCCAAGATCTGACGCTCTCCTCCTCCGCCTCCTCTTCCTCCTCCTCCCTCTCTCCCTCCTCTCCTCCTCACCTCCTCCTCCTCCTTCCTCCTCCTCCTTCCGTCCTCCTCCTCCTCCTCCGTCTCCTCCTCCTCCTGGCCCCCCTCCTCTCTCCTCCTCCTCCTCCTCCTCCATCCTCCTCGTCCTCCTCCCCCTCCCCTCCCCCTCCTCCTCCTCCTCCTTCTACTCCCTCTCCTCCTCCCCCTTCCCCTCCTCCTCCCCCTCCCCCTCTTCCTCGCGTTCTCCCCTCCTCCTCCGCCTCCTTCTCTCTCCCTCCCTCCCTCCCTCCCTCCCTCCTCCTCCTCCTCCTCCTGCTCCCAGAGAGCCGACGCTCCAAGACGAGCGTCGGGATTTGGGACAGCCTTCGGCCTCCGGGGCCCTCGCCGGGCCTCGGGAGCGTACACAAAAACGGTATTCGGGATGAAGAAGCGGCCCCGGGGAAGTGCTCCGGACCTCTGGGGCCCACGCATCTGAAGCATGCGAGCGTCTGGATGTTTGGGAGGGAACTGGGGAGGGGCGGACCTTCTCAGAAGGTTCGGAAGTCCCCTGGCGTTCTTAGAAGTTGTCTAAGCCTTCCCCGAAGACAAGGAGAACACTTCTCAGGAGGCGCGAGGGCTTCTGAGAAGTTACGCTTCCTTCTGAGAAGGGTTTCTCCTTCTCATTTCCCCCCTCGCTCGCCGCCGAGGGGTGGCAGCAGAGGTGGCCAATCTCAGTTGCGCCGGCAGCCCGTTCCCTCTGCAGTCCCCCGCGGATCGAGCCACTCTGGTTGACAGGCCAAAGCCGCCAATGCCGGCTCTCAGCGAAAGCCTCCCAGCGGCGCCGCCCATGGAGCCGGCGCGCCCACCTCAGGGGGGCCGCTGTGATCGCGCCGCCGACGTGCCGAAGCTCTTGGGCGCGGCCACCGCCCGCAGGGGCGGCGACGAAGAGGAGGGCGAGGCCCACAAGCACGCCGCAGCCTCCACGGGCGCCGCCGGGAAGAAGGCCGACGAGGATAACATGGAGAAGGTGCCCTCCGGCTGGGCCACAACCAGTTTGAACAAGGACGATTCGTCAAGCTCGATTGGGAGTCCTCAGAGCCCTGGGCCGCGCAGGAACGCAAGCGGCATCACCAGGGTCTCGTCAGCCAGCAAGAGAGTTGTCGACGCAGGACGCCGCGAGTTCTGCTGCTACGGCCTGTCGTGGTCCGCGGTCGCCGAGGTATTCACCACGCCCGTGAACACGGAGGCGGAGGGGGAGACCGCGGGCTGGGCCGTGCAGCTCCAGGTGCGCGGGCCGCCCCCCGGCTCCGACGCGAGCTTCAAGTCGATGGCGCGCAGGTTCGCCAAGCACTGCTGCACGGAGATGAAGTACTTCCCGATCCCGCTGGTGTTCACTTTGATTCCGACGATCTTGACATCGCTCGTGGCGGGCAAATGGAGTATCGGTGGATTGGTCGATCCCCCATGGACGTGCGACCCCAAGGAGTCGACGATCATGCTCATGTACATCGAGAGAGCGAGGAAACAGCCGTGGCTGGACGAGCTGCTGAGCCCGCTTCCTAAAGTATTGTATTTTGCTGGGCTCGCAGGCACCCTGTACGTCATATGCGCCTCGTGGTCTTGGAGGATCACCGGGAAGATCTTCAGGTTGTGCGTGCTGTACCCCGTCATCGTTCTTTGCATGGCTTGGTCTGCTCCCATATGGATGAGATCTGTATTGGTTGGTGTTGGTCAAGCCGATTGCCCGCTTGTTCAGGCCTGGCAGATTGGGTTTGAAGAAATTCAGGTGTACTTTGCGGTCCCTGCCATTACTGTCGCGACCTTCGCGTACTTATCCAAAGCCACTGGGAACGTATGCTTCTACATGTTCAAGTTCGAATTTGTCTTGGTGTTCTTGTTGTACTGGTTCGTGCTGAGGCCGCGGGCTATATCGCTGAGCGACCAGGTTGATGAGGCGTCCGACCGCATGAGGGTGTTCTTGGTAGTCTTCCTCAGCCTCTCGATGGAATTGGTCTGCATGCCCTGGACGCGGATGATTGCGCGCGCCTCGAAAGGTAACCACTGGTCAACGTCATTTCTCATACCATCGTTTTTCATTGTGTTCAAGGCCTCCATCGGAAGGATGATAGTGGTCGGGATACAGCGGTGGGAGTACGTGACAACAGTTCTGGTTATCAATGGTGTTGGAGAGTACCTGCTCCGAATCAACATGAAGTTGCGCGACGAGCTTGTGTACCGCAGGCTGTTCGGGCGGTTCGTCGAGAACCCGTCGGCCCAGCTCGCCAGCGACAGGAGCAAGAACATCCGCATGCACACGTTTGCGTTTGAGACTCTGTGCCAGCATGTGTTCACCATCAACGGCATTGTCCTGGTTCTGGTCTTCGACTACTCTGGAAAGGGCGATACAAACCCGGATCCCATCAAGTTGTTTCGCACGTTGGTGATACAGGTCATCGTGGAAGCATTGGTCGATTTTTCCGCGTTGCTCACCCTGAAGAAGGTGTACGGGTATGACATCATGGCCAAAGCCGATGGGCGTTCGTGGACGTGGTCGTTGCTGTTTTGTCCTTTCATGCTGTTCTGGTCCGCGCACGCGATGATCGACGAGACAGCCACCTATTGCAGGACGCCATCAGGGCCAGAGTTCGAGCAGTACAACCTCACGTCGACCTGGATGAGCTGCCGTGCTCTCGACAGTCTGCTGAACGCCACCGCTCTCTCGTGATGCCGGGGCAGCGCCCTCTGCACCCCGCGGGCGTCCGGCAGCGGCGCAAGAGGGGCTCTTGCCGCTGCAGGGCACGAGCGATGTGTGGGCTGAGGTGTCAGCACTTCGGTGGTTCGAGTTTTCTCCATGCAGCAGCACCGAGCTCGCGGGGGTGGGAGAGTTGTCGTGGCGTCAAGCGCTCATCCCAGATGGTGTGGTCCCAGGACGGGCGGCTGCAGTCGGCCCCCGCGCGCGTGCTTTATGCTGGATCAGCGTGTTTGCTTGGGTGGTGCACAGACAGCGTGTCCCCAGAGGACGCCAATTTTGCACACAACCTTGCTCTACGGTCTTGTGCCAGGCCAACTTGTCTGTCGGGTTGGTGTACAAAAGCTGTGCTCCCAAGCAGACGCAAGGAGGCGGCGCGAGGCGGGCACTAATTCATGCAGGGTCTGACCTTTTGCGTGGTGTTACCTTCGGGCGCGACGCCTGCTACTAAGTCGCACTCCGCCGCAGTATAAGTGAACCGTGCCACGAGATTCTCGCCGTGGGCGATATTTTTGTTGCGCGTTTGCGCGCGCTTGATTGCCCTGCTTGGCGCTTACAGTCGTCGAATTGCTTTTTTTCATAAGCGGTTCTCCCCTCGCCGGCGTTACCCTCTGATCCCGGCGCGGTGCCAGCATATCCGCAGCGGCCCGTGAGAAAGCAGATCTCAGCGGTCGCAGGCCTTAGTTTGCGCAGCGTTCTCTGACTCCAGCACCACGTGGCACAGCACCGCTCGTCCTGCTCGCGCCAGCCCGACGCACAGCCTCGGGACCGAGGTGGCCTGGAAAGAGAGGCTGTGGCTGTCCGGCGCCTGACTATAAGAGATGCCTGCTTCCCCGCGCGCCTTGCAGTGTTGGAGGCCCGCCGAGGGAGGCCCCAGCTTACGACCTGCGTGCGCTGCTTGCTGCTACAGTCATACGGCCGGCGACACACGCTGTAGACCGCACCGGCGCGGTGGCCGAGAGGGAGCCTCGGGGGCGGA